TTTTTTCCATAATCAAGCTGTGACTTTAGATGGACCATTCACATAACAATATTGAGCTAAAAACATTTTTCTATTTTTGGCTACTGTGACCTACTTCTGATTTTCTACGTTTTTGACGCTAGGCAGTAACATAGCCAAAAACACTTTCATACAATGTTTATTACAAAAATATTACTGATATATTACATTGCTAACAAATAATGTTATATCTATTCATTTAGACGGTTGAAAAATTTATTTAATAAGTAAGTAAGTAAATAAGTAAATAGATATTTTATTAATGTGTCATATGTAAACATACAAGCAATGAACAAACAAGACATGGATAAACAATAGTATACACCCGGCCCAATGGGCCTATAAGACACAAATAACATGAAGACAATAAATCTGAAAACACGTGAACAACATAAAAGGTATGTTTAGATAAAAAAAGAAGAAGAAAGATCTTACTTATCTTCTAGCTCAAAAGAAATCTCTTATTTTAAATATGTCTCTTTCATCGCTCGTAAGTGTTCACTTAGTGAAATATATTTCAATCTTACATGCAAAACAAACAAATATCCTCAATATAAACGTGACGATTATCCAATGAAAATCTGAGTTACAAACGTACAGTTACAGAATAATTAACATTAATCTATTGTAGGTCAATATGAATATGAAGATCATTGCTGCTTTTCTAATTGTCAACCTATTTCTAAGCCTTAATGCTCCAGCGGACGCCCAGGGAGCATACGGCGGATTGGGGACTTTGCTCGGATTAGGCGCTGGTTTGGCTGTAGGGTCTTACATCGGTAGAGGATTTCGTAGGGGGTACCCTGGGTATGGCTACCGAGGGTATGGCTACGGCTATCCAAGATATGGCTACGGACGTCGGCCATTCGGACTTTTTGGCCGCGGCTTTTATTGATAGACCTACAAACATTTAGGTAAAGCTCTTATATGATTTGTTTGATTGTTTTGTTATACTAGAATTTTTTTAATTGCAGATTTTGCAACATTTGTTTCAAGCTGCATGTCTCTAGATGAACCAAAATATTTCAAGAAAATCAAACTTGAGAACATATATACTAAGATTTTAAGAAGAGTAAAAAAGATTCAAGATTCAATTTAAGTATAGTGAAATTGTTGGAAACTTTGATAACGTTCATATTTTTGTAAAAAGACATAACTTACGTACAGGTTGTGAAAATTATCATTTATGTTTAATCTGTTCTGCTCTATGAATGATAGCGTTGAAGTCATACGTCACATTTTGTCATTAACGAATATAACAGTCTAAAGCTATGTTCGCTTTTTAGGGTGAAATTGACTTAAATGTACTTGACATCATGATATCTATTATTGTTTATACCATTGTAAAGCCGAAAATGAATAAATGAATAGTAGGCGTGCCAACAATTGAACATTGAAGGTTTTACAACTATTAGTGATTTTGGTTTAATCAGTTCAGTGTTGATTTTTGTGTTTTTGTTGTTGTTGTTGTTGTTGTTGAAAATGAAAACAAATAGAAAACTTATATTGATAATTGATTTTGTCTTTGTTTCAGGTACACAGCATTTTGTATTTAGAGGTATTAGAAAACAAATCTTTCATTCAATAAACTGATTTATAAACAATTGACTGTTCTTGTCTATATTAAATCTATGCGTTTCATTCTATTATTTATTTATTATTTTATTATTCATGTCATATACATATTAGCCTTGTTTTTATTCTTTTGAGTAATTTAGACAAAAATCTATGCTATAATCAGATGAAAACGGTTGGGATATGATACGAACCCACTCGTCAAATGATCTGCGACCAATTGCTAAAACACAACTATTTTGTGTCGATAATTTAAACAATCGACAATCAATATAAATTGCTGTAATAATCGCGTTTTAGAGTACATATGACAAACCTATGCCAACAATAGTTTGGTGAGAATTTAAGTCTGTCTGCATTTCTACATAATCCGACTGGAATCTATATAGCTCATAGAAGCTCTTGCTAAATATTATATTGAATATTTTTCTAACATCAATGAAAGTAACTATATACTCTATTAGACGAGAGAAAACTAGAAATGTGTCCATAGGGCATGGGTGCCCCCACACTTTAGGTCAAATATTTTTAGGCTACATGTGCCACAAGTTGAAAACTAAAAATCGTTCAATAAGTCAAGGGCAAGAACTTCACAAATACTGAATAAATCCACAAGCAAACCCCAAGGTGCATAAGTACATGGCTGACCAACATTCTTGTAAACTTTCAGACCTACAGGTCAAATATTTTTTAAGTTATGCATGAACAAGTTGAAAATTGCAAATTTATACTAAGTCAAGGGCAATAACACTAACAAAACTGAAAAAAAATCCACATGCAAAACCCAAGGTGCATTATGAGCTTCACAGTGATGTTGATCAGTATTCCTGTAAAGTTGGCTGGAGCACTCGAGGAACAAATAATACAACATAATGGAACGGTTTTCACTAAGTCATGGACAATAATTCTGACAAAACAGAATAAATCCACAAGTGAAACAAGTGAAAAGTGCACAACTTCACATGCTAAGCAACATTCCTGTAAAGTTTCATGACACTAGATCAAATACTGTTACGTGCGACACAAGTTGAAAATCGTAAATGTTTACGAAGTCAAGGGAAATAACTCTAAAAGTACTAAACATATCCACATGCAAATACCCAGGTGCACAACTTTACATGCTGATCAACATTCCTGTAAAGTTTCATGACTGTAGGTCAAATATTTTTTGAGCTATATGTGACACAAGTTGAAAATTGCAAGTATTTACTAAGTTAAGGGCAATAACTCTACCAAAACAGAATAAATCCACAAGCGAAACCCCACAAAAGCACAAAAACTCACGTGGAACAAGTATCAAACACAAGCTCTCCAGTATTAATCCAGTTCATTCCTGTCTTAATATTAATTATAGTCTTAACATATTGCAATGTTTATAATTATATTGAAATGTTTATATACTGTAAGTTTGTCAAAGTGTTCACAGGTGATGAATATCAGTAGAGAAATAAAAGATATGCAAACTTTAATTTATATAAAAACATCACTGAAACAGAAAATAGATTTTAACTTAAAATCTAAATAACAACTTTCAGTTTTGATATCAATCATGCTTGATATATTTGTTGGCATTAAAATAAAAAAACCACACCGTGTTAGTCATATGGCGACTATTAAATTTTACTGGTAGTTCTGAACGCATTGACGCCCTCTATACGATATTCCAGGCACAGGCATGCACCCGAGTACAATAGCCGAGCTTACTAAATTGTAAGCTACATGGATAATTTTCACACATAGAAGAATTTTAAGTCCTTGGAGCTCAAGCCGGGAAAGCAATGGATTCAATATTTAGAGACTCATTTTAGCTGGGTTCCGTTCATGAAAAAAAAAACAGTCATACTCCAATTGCTTAATTGTTAACATATCAAAATGGAAACAGAAAGTTTTTTTTTACTTTTATTTTTTAATAGAAATTTACAGAGATGCATATGCATGACACAATATCAGACTCTACATTAACTAAAACTAACATAAAAATAAAAGCATGTTTTTTTTTAACAATTATCGCATAGCAGTAAGAACATGTACATGACTTTGTATAAAGTGGAGTTTAATATTATACAAATATGGACTTTTTAGCTGTTGAATATGATGTGATATGTACTTAAAAAAGCTAATATTGACCGAGGCGATAGCCGAGGTCAATATTAATTTTTCAGTACATATCACATCATATTCAACAGCTAAAAAGTCCATATCTGTTTTATTATATAATCTATAAATAGCTTTTATATGGCTTATCACATCTGCCATTGCATACGACGGAAATCATTATTTTTTAACTTGTCTACTGTTTCCATAATTTAGCCCTTTCCATTGGCATGCTAATCCCTTTTTTTCCTTAAAAATGAAAAACGGTAACTAAAATAGACTTATTTGACTCTTATGTACACCCAACTCAACTTTTCTTCAGAAAAATAACAACAAACTTGGCGTGACGTCACGTCAAAGTCTCGCGTCTTTTAGGGATTTCCAGAAAATCTATTTTTAGAAGAAAAACCGGTGAATATACTCTGAAAATTTATTTTTAGGAAAAAAACAGTGAATATACTCTGATATTGACCTGTTATTTTTTACAAAAAGTTGCTTGTTAGCCAATCAGGGAAAGGCATTTTAAAGCTATTTATAGATTATATAATAAAAGAGGACATTTATTAGCATGCAAAAAGTAAATGCACATTTTTTAGGAGACATTTATATCACACCCATGAAAATAATGCCTCTAGACCAAGATTCGAACATGTACATTTCTAATGGAGCAACTCGGTCGGATCTATAATGTAAAATTATTTAACCTTTCAAAACCTTTGATATATGTAATATCAATATTATATATATAATGTTAATTTTACATTATCATTCTGAATTGATAATGAACAATTCTTTTCTTTGTTTTACAATCAACCGCAGCACTTCGTTCTTTTACGTTAAATGATACAGGAAATATCGAACAAAATATATACAAAAAATAAATTTAGTTGCTCAATCCATGGTTTGTAGGAAACTGAGAGGAAAAGAAGTCTCCAGGAACCGAAAGTCAAACCAGACTGCAAATCTGGTATAATTTCATTTTTTTACTTTGAGAACAAAATGTCCTAAAAACTGAATGAAGTGTACCAAGTTCAAACCTGGGCAAGTATTAAATGACATTGAAGATGAACTTTAATTATTCTATAAATTGTAAATGTACAGCATTTTTAAACAATGAAAGACTGGATCGGAAAACAAGTAAACAATTCTTATATAATTCCATTCCAGTTAAAAAAATTACAAAAATGATGAGGCACAATTTAAGCTTTAAAATGTTTAATAAAGAACGATAAATTTTTTAAATTATCGAAATGTAACGAAAAATGAAAAAGAAATTTAGGGGACAATGAGTGAAGAAAATATGTCATGGATGTACATGTATAAATGTAATTATACATAACATAAATACATCAGTATTTGAATGTCCAAACAAGAACAAATTATTTCATTGCTGCATTATAAACAAAATACAGTGATATAAGCTATAGGAACAAATTAGGAATCACAGTGGATTGCAAAATGCTGTATCACCCGATACAAGAGAAAAAAGTTTTATAATGAACAAACGCATTGGAAGTAATTTTTGTACATGCTGCTGAAAGGCCAATCAATGACATTCACTGTGTTTTAATTTTGTATAATTAATAATATAATTTGTCATGGAAAAATGTTTTTAAATGATACACCATGCATAAGGATAAGAATGCATGCTAAAGGACATGACAAATACATATAAGTATATATTACTGGTCATTATTTTTGTTACAACCATAATAAGGAAAGCGAAAACCTTAAAAGATCACCAATTAAAGATTACATGTTAAATGACAGCAATAAACTTACTTACAATTTCAGCTATTTGGTTAATACACGAAAGCATATTTCAGGGTAAATAAATCACAAATATAAATGTATTTTCTGATTTATACGTTCACATCCATTTGATAAATTTCATATCCAAAATTTGAGCACAAATGAACGTTAAACGAGGACATTGTCCATTGCGTTTTTATAAAACATTATACACAACAGTCCTTCTTGAAGGATGCAATACGACTGAGTTATATTATATACATAATCCTTCATCTACAATACGTGGAAGTGATCAATCTTTACCACCAGCATAGAGCCAAGCTAGTCTGCTGGTCCGTGAAGTAAGACCAGGATCTATGCTGTTGGCCGAACAACTCCATTTTGGTATCCAGAAAGTTGATAGATATAATTTTAAAAAAAAATAGGAGATGAACAAAATAAAGAGAATCCCTATAGAAGGTCCAAAACAGCAATTGAACATTGTAAATGTTGCAGAGCCTGTTCATGGAGTGGTAAGTGCAAGCTACCGTCCACGCACCCTAGCACCGGTTTAAGCAGTACTCAACATTTAACATGAAATGGTAAATTTTATGAAAGTAAATTAAGGGCTAAATCCCAAAGTTTGAGTCAAAATGGGATGGCATGGTATTTACAATACATGAGATAATGAGATTATACTATATTTGGTTTCCAGACGTTAACTTTCACACATTACATCAAATCATTGCGTTTGCTCTAGTCGTTTAACCATTGTTTGTTCGTTAAGCTCTGCAGTTACTTGTTTTACCATTTCAGTGACACTTTCCTTCGTGGCCGCCGTAATGTGACAATTAAAACGACATGGCCATGATAATGCAGGTTTTATCATGTGTTTTCCTTGCATATCTGCCAAAATTTGTTCATGATCTTTTTTACTATCTTCAAATGCCTAAAATATAAATTAAAGTTAAAACCGTTACCATTATATAATCTTCAAATGCCTGTAAGAAAAACAGTAAAAACAGCTACTATTTTATAATCTTCAAATGCGTTAAAGTAAAAAGTCAAGAATAGTATGAGGAGCATACAAAAAATGTTGGGCAGTGATTATAAAGTAATGTTACAACCAGCAATATGGAAAAAACCAAACATTGGTCGTTTGTAAAAGAAAAGTAAGACAGTATAAACAAGTCAAATTTTTTCACTACCTTTTTCTTCTGTTTATCGCTATCTAGGAAGACAATGATGATTTTCATCAACGAAGTCTCTTCAGTCTGGCATATAAACTTTGTGATTGAATCAAACATGATTTGGGCAACAGTTTTTACAGGATAGTTGTGTACTCCTGTACAGAGCGCTGGAAATGCTAAACTGGCAAAACCTTCCGTTGTTGCTTTTTTGAGACACGTATTTACAACGTTTCGCAGAATCTGTGAAAGATATTTGAACATTATTTTATAAGTGAAATCATTTCTGACCGGTCACATGACCTTGTTAGACATCTATATAACATAATCCTCATTTTGGTTTTCTAATGGAAAACATAACAAATGTGAACAATTCTGACACATAATAGGAAAATATTGTAAAATCAAAAGCTCAATAGTGACTTATCCAAAACATTTCTATAAAAGTTCTAGTTATATTGTACCTCAAGGCTTAATGGTTTATTGTCGGGATCATAGTGTTGCAATACAGCATGGAATACAGCTTTACATGCCAATGTTCCAGCATCACCTTTTATTACATCACCGACTTTAACAGGTCGTCTAACATTCTCTAGACATGTCTGTGCTTTTGCTCCAGCTGCAATGCTAATGGATTGAGTAATGGTTTTGTCCCCTGTACCGAGATTTAAATGTTCTGGTGCGGAATTTACAATCACATCAACCTGAAATGCGAGCAAATGTTGCTATACAATTATGTTTGTCCGGACAATTTAGGCAAACATTTGAGTCGGGGGCCAACAACTGCTTAAACGATAGGCTATTTTCTAAGTATGGAATATCTCAAAGACTCAAACCTTTAAAAAAAAGATATGTTAAACCTAGATGCAAGGAAAATCGAACAAGACTATTTCAGTTACCTCAAGATCAACACTTATTTACATATGAAGTACCTTCAAAAGAACACATCAATTGACCAAATATAGACATGCTATATTGTGAATTCGTCACAATAATTTTTACGATTAGACTATGCAAATTGAAAAAAAAAATTCCGCCGTTTAAGAATATTATTCTTGGTTATTTGAATGAAAATGTATCAAACCTGTTCATTTTCAATTCTTCCAGTTTTGAAAATTATTTCAGTTTTATTTTCGAAAATATCCATTGTTCCCGGTACTCTAAAATCATTGCTCTGAGATATCGTCCTGAGCAAATTCTCATCTTTCTCGTCACATATCCAAAACATCAGCGTAGTTATTTCTTTTAATTTTGATGCAATCATATCATGACCACCTTGTGTCGCTTCTACTATCAGTTCAGTTTGACATTTACCGCGTTCAATCTTATAAAATTCTACTTCTGCTTTATCCGCAAATATTTCCTTGTGATGTTTCAATATGAAGCCACATTTTGCCTTAGTCATCGTAACGGATTTTCTTTCACGAAGGTTTTGCTTTTTAAAATCTTCTGTAATGTCCACAAAAATTTTGCAACACTCTGTGGTCCCTTTTATAATGACAAAAGGTTTATCGGAAGTGTCGTCAATACACAATCGCTTTTTATTATTAACTAAAGCCAGGCTTTTTGTTATCTTCCATTTATCCGAATCTATCAGATAGTCTTTCAATTCAATTCTCTGTTTGCTAAAGAACTTCTCAATCTCCTCTACAGCTTTACTTGCGTGATCTTTTTGTGTTGCGACAACATTGAGAAAACGGCCTGAAATAGTCCACCAAACCTTTGTACCCGTCAGACTTAACAACTTTTCAATATCCTCAATGATGTCTTTTTCACTCAGAAGATTGACAACAAATTCATCCAGCTTTTTCGGAACGCAGTGTGAGGTATGCAGTATTTTATTTATAAAGACATTCGTTGATAATACGTCTTCTTTAAAACCTTCAATGGTAATGCAATTCTTGTTACACGTGGTCTTTGCACTTTGTAAATCTAACTGTTTCCTGTTTGCCTCAATCTTGAAAACGTCTGTCCAGGGTAACTCCATCTTGTGTTTGATGATTTCTTCTTTTGAAACGATTGCAATGTGTGTTTCAATGCGAACTTTTTCATTTTCGGTTTGGTACGCTATAAAGAATGAAAAATCGTCATCTGCTGTATATATTTTTATCGTCTGATTTTTATTAAGTATATGTTCAAAATGTCTTAACGCTAAATCAAGTCTCTCAACATCTAGCCTATGTAGCTTGACATTGACGTGGTTTTCGAGAGTCTTCATTGTTTCAACCACGGCATTTTGGAAATCTTCTCCACTCGTAACTTGAACTTTACCTATATCGATAGTTATGTTTGATGTTTGTATATTTGTAATAACTTTCACTTCATCGCCAAACTGAACTCGCATGACGTCTTGGAGTATTGTTGGAGACATTTCTTGATTGGTATGAACTGGACCTTGCCTGTCTGCTTGCTTTGTCTGCGTACTTCCGGTGACTGAGCACGTGGTTGCAGCATAACTGACAACCACTGGCGACACATCAGTCTCATTCAGTTTAAGAACAGTCTAAAGAAAGATGCAGAGTAAGTGGATATAGGTAAATTTTTAATAAATTTAATATCTGTGTAAATGGAGAACTTTCGTACATACACGGTATTAAGGAACATGAAATGTAAATTAATGGATTCATTTAATCATATCCATCATAATTTAACATGTACTCTCAATAGTGCCCCGAACTGAAATCAGCTTAAAGTTATTTCAATTGAGGTCGTGTGTTTCTTTGTGTGTTTTTTTGGTGATAAGATAAGATCATTATATTGTTTTTAAGTTTTCTTTATTTATTTGGACAGCTTATTCATAGACCTCAACTGAATAAAGTTATAGAAGAGAAACAAACAACACTAAATTTAAGTCGCTTTAACAAAAATAGCATTGGCAGTACGTTATCATTTTGATTCGCTTTAATCTCATCAATATGTTTTTAGATTTTCAGATCTTTTTGTCATACTTAAAAATTCCAGTATTAGTTAATATCAATCAAGAGTCCCTTTTACGACAAGAGCATGGTGAAGTCTTGTATTTTTCTTCTACACTTATTTCAGCATGTGACTTTCTTTAATTCAAATTAGGATTTTTTAAGGTTAAGCATGTAAATTATGCAGTGTATTGTTTGTACTTACATTGTCTTGACCTTGTTGTCTGTAGACCAAGTGAACCTCTTTGAATTCTTTACTGAAAATTTTATGTCCAGTTCCTCCATAACCAAACAACTCACTGCTGTCAAAACTTGATTTACTTATTGAACTGTTTAACGATGAGAGACTGTCGCAGTGCTGTTTCAAAGGTAAATGAAAGCATGATTCAAGAAAATATTATACATGAGTACTATAATTAAAGATCTTGGCTACGATTGTTTGTCTAAATGCTTACAAAAACAAGACAAAACATTCAGAGAACTGATTTAAACGACATGCTGGAATATGTTATAAAGTCCTTCAGCTACTAATTAAATTAGAACAATTTTATATCTTTCAAAAACTATTAATTTTTTTTATTATACGTTTAAGGAATCATAACGGTATCACGTTTTCGCCTCTTCGGTCATCATCTGTCAAACGTCTTTATGACAAACGTTTAACGATAAATGACCAAAATATCCATAAAACTACAAAGTCTTATTTCAAAGATTTCACAAATTGAAAAATAATATGGTTTAAAAACAAGACACTTTGAGCAACTTCAATTTCTTTAGGACTTTTTTTCTGTAGTAACACATATATAGTAGATTACAGTTATGAAATCATCTTTTTTATGAAGGAATTTGTTTTAGGTTAAGTCTATTTCTCGGCTAAAATGCTTAACCTAAAACGATTTATTTTTCTCAGCAAGATAAGTGGCTGCTAACTGCATACACTTGTACCTCTTTTTCTGGGATAGGCTTTTTTGCAAGTTAAATGATGTCCTAATATAAGAAGTATCAAACAATGACAATGACACTGGCGAGTTTAAGAAATGTCAATAAATACCTGTAAGCTACCGTAGCGACCGGCTCCATCATCCACAAAGCTACGGTAATCATCTTGAATAACAGTAAATGATCCGCTGTTAACCGCATCGTTGTCCGAGCAAGATTTAAATGCTTTTATGGTCAATATTGAGCGAACAAATTTACACGGTTCAATTTCATGTCGCTGAAGAACCTGGTCTACATCTGTAAGAAAAGAAAAATCTGTTTCTGACATATTCTACACTTGTAATTTCTCACGCATATCATGTGTAACATACAAATACATGTATATCAAACGGCAAATGATAAACCTATCACATTTTTCACGAAAGTTAAAATTTTACTTTAATCTAACTTTTTCAACAGTCAAGGTTGTTATTATTATGTCTCACACGGCAACGATTTTCTGAGAAAATGCATTCTCGTCTGGAAAGTAATTTCTGTTCAATTTCTGTTTTTCTTTGTTGATCCTATTATACGGAAGATAAAGTCATACTTTATTACCTGATGCTTTTTGGAAGGTGATCACCGCTTCATTATCCTCGAATTTTACATCTTCTACTACAATGCCTTCACCAAACTGTTTCCTACTTTCAAAATAGTTCACCAATAATTCCTCCTCAAGGCAGTGTTCTGGTAAATTGCCGACAATAATTTTTCTGTCGTCATCTGAAATGAAGAATACTTCTAGAACATTTTAGTTCAAACATTTATTTTACCTCGATCGTGGTGACAGCTTGGAACTTTTGTAACCTATTTCCTAGAAATTGCTAGTATTGATATCATGTGAGGAGACATGGTCGTGACCCGAGTAGGGCGCGAACTAATGACCCCTGGGTTAAGAGGCAGAAACCTGGACAACTGAGTAACCACTTCCCTTTACAATTTAGACTAAATCAAAGTTCATTTAATGTTTAATGGTAAAAATGATCTATTAGAACCGCCAGGGACATTGGATTTTTCGTGTAGGGAATCTATTGATCTACCTTACGAGTCGAGAGGTTTTACTCAGGTGACCTCCATTGTATGAAATCATGCAAGGTGAAAAACTTGACGTCTTCCTTCAGATTGAAAGTTGATGTATGACTTGAACAGTATCAGTGTGATAGTGATGAAAAGACTGGCTACATTTAAGTGTTTAGTTGTTCATGCGGAAATATTCATGTTTCATATTTCAAAATGCACGATTAAAATACATCGGCTTTATTTGAATTTCTGTTCGTAGAATGTTAACCAAAACAGTTTAGTATTAAGTTTTTAAATGATACATTTAAGGATGTTGTATACAAGAAAAAATCTATGAAAGAAATGTTCCAATGTCTTTTTTTCATTTGAGGAATACATACTTGTTTTCATTTGTGTGCCGAGTAAAGTATTGAAGTCTATTTTTTTATTACAATTAACTTATGTTTAACATTAAAAGAATTATTTCCTTAAATTGTTTTTTGTTGTTTATAAAACAATGTTTGTGGTGAATCCAAAATATAAGCGTGGTCATTTAGACAGTTAACGCCATATTTTTCTCTTTGAATTCACCATGGAATTTTTACTTCACACATAAACAAGAAAAATATTACATACATTCGTATGTAATATAGGTACGATTGCATACTACTTTTTGTGAAGACTTTATGTTTGCTGAATTAAAGGTGTAATGTAAAATGAACAAACATGTCATGAGATATTTTATATCTTTAAACATTTTCATGGAATGTAATTAATGTATCACCATATCAAAGTTGCATGCCTTCAGGTGAGAAAAATGATTTCAAGGAAATCAAAATATGAAAAGAAAATTCACGGTCAATTGACTGCTTTGAAGCATAATCACAAAATAAAATTACAGGAAATGAAAAACCTTTTTAATACACTTAAGGTAGAATTTCATTGTAAATCATAGTCAAAGATTTGAGATATGATTATTTATTCATATTAACATCATTATTGGTTATATATTGATAAAAAAAAAACACGAAAGACACAGTTTGTAAACATTTATTACAATAAAATGTGAAAAAGGTATACGCGCCGAGGTTAGCTATAATTAAAATTCCCGCGCTAAGTCGCGGTGGTGCTTGGGATAATCACTTGATACTGTAAATTGCAGCCATTTTACGATACGAATCCTCGGACAGTTTATCCTGCCGAAAAGATATGAAAAAATACTTGCAATTCAAAGTTTGCTGGCTACATAAAGATTATCGATTTACTCTTTGCACACTTTTTCTCTGCCTCAGTATAATAATATTGACGTGTTTTCATTGGCTTAAACCATCACGTTACCAATACACATGTAGGTGTGAACTAATTTCGTGTTCATTAAAATTATTCCGTTAATAGACATATAGCAATCTTATTTACAGAGACATAGATAACAAATGTCTCTGTTATTTACAAATGAAATGATAAAACAACAATCCCAGAAGCATTTAAGATAATAACAATCATTGGAAAAAAATAAATGCATATAAATTGTAAATTTGTGAATGACAACTCAACCCCCTAAACAAAACATAATAGACTCAACCAAAACAAACGCCTGCTTCTTCACCTAACTATGTAGTTGCATGACCATGATTAGCAATTTAGCAAACCAAATCTAAGAGATAAACCTATTGTAAAAATAATACTATGACCACAGCAGATTTCGTACAGAAAAGATAAAAGATAAAAAAAGAAGGAAACTTCTCAATATCTTTGAGCGTGCTATTTTTTTGTGTTATTGTGTTATTTATTTTTCCTTTGTCTTAAAATAACTCTATATCTTTATAACTGACAGGCACATCTTAATAATTTAAACATTTTATCGAAATAATAATATGTAAATGAAAATGATTACAGTATTTATTAATAACTTAATAATTACTGTTGATCTCTAGTCTCGACTAAAAAAGAAATAACCTAATAAATAACATTACGGTGTTGCAAACATTTCTTAGAAATAAGTTACTCTTAATAACTGCTCGCAATCATTCGTAAATGGTTCGGTTCGTTGCGATTTGTTTTACATTTTTGTAACTTTAATAATATTTCAGGTATGTAAAAATCAGAGGAAGGGGTATTTAGTTCTGCCTTTTGTCGTAAACAGAACAACATAAATAAGTTACTTTTTAATAAAAAATACTAGAATACACATAAATCTCGTAAACAATCAAGAAGTTCTGTACGTTAATACCCCTTCAAATAAGTGGGATACATTGCTTTGAACATGTCATTCAGCCGGTCCATAGACCAAACACTTGACGATCAATAACTTTAGAACGGCTGGGCCTAGGAACTGCAAAATGTGTATGGGAATTGGTCATGAACAGAAAATGTATCCTATTGTTTTGGGGACACTAGGTCAAAGATACAATGACCATTTTATATCTAAACGGCTTCCGGCCAATAACTCGACAACCCTTTGGCCATTTGCTCTAAAAAAAACACAGGTGCATTGGTCTTGGCCGGTAGATGACCCACGTGGTTTCAAATGTAAACAGAAACAGATATAATATAAAACGAATGTATATATTTGACATCTTATGTCTGTTCCGGTACTATTATGCTTGAAAATATGTCTGACAACAATTTGTAATTTAAATATGCCCACAGATGTTCAGTTTTAACAAATCCGACTTAATGTCAACAGGTTGGTTTTTTGTACTTTCGGTTTCTACAACCGTAAGAATGATTATATAAGTAATGTATTGTTTGCTTTTGTACCTATGAATTCACTTATTTTAGGTGGACTTTTACTACATATATTGGAAATAAACTTGTCAACAACTCCCAGCATTAAATTACTATTTGTTTACTTGTTTAGTTTCTTAGCGTAGGTTAGACCGAAATATCGCATCCGATCTGTGTATTCATACTATTGTGTTCGAGGTCCTTATCCAAAGACTGACGGAAAGGGCCGAGTAGTTGCGATTGTCGGCATCCCATGGTCCTTTTGCCCGGCTCTTTGCAAGTAGATAACCCGTTTTGAGTTTAGAGTCAAGGGCAATGTCACATTGACCATATATATAAAAACAGTTTCCCACGAATAACTCGACAACCCATGAGCAGTGCCCTCAAAATTTACATGTGCATTGGTCTTCGCAAGTTGATGATCCCTATTGATTTTGGGGTTAAGGGATCAAAGGTCAAGGTTCAATTCATCTTGAATGTCAAAATGGTTTCCTACTGAGAACTCGACAATCCATGGGCTTTTCGCTGTCAAAGTAGATGAACCTGTTAATTTCGGGAACAGAGACCAAAGGTCAAGGTCACATTGACCCTGTTTATCAGATTAATGAATAGTTTCAAACCAATTAATTTACAAGCAATCTTCATAGAAACATTGGTTTTGCGCTCTTCATAACCTCTTGTTTTTTTTTTATTAGGGCTCAAAGGTCATGGTCACATTGACCTTGCTATATATATAAAAACGGTCAAAACTCAACACATGATTACGGAAGAGCATTAGTGCCAGCTAGGTGTATGTTTTTTATTAACTCGAAATTTTGACTTACTTATCTCGAAATTTCGAGTTACTAACTCGAAATTTCGAGTTACTAACTCGAAATTTCGAGTTACTTATCTCGAAATTTCGAGTTACTATCTCGAAATTTCGAGTTACTTATCTCGAAATTTCGACTTACTAACCCGAAATTTCGACATACTCACTCGAAATTTCGAGTAAATTAACTAGAAATTTCGACTTAGTAACTCGAAATTTCGACTTAGTAACTCGAAATTTCGACTTAGTAACTCGAAATTTCGACTTACATTGAACGACTTTCATTGGTTGCCGGTGAAAGCAATTAAGGATTGAATTCAAGATACTTTCTTTCGTGTGTAGCTATTGCACATTGACAGAGCACCTTTAACATTTATTTAACAGAACAATTTATTAGGGTCAAATTGTCCACACATACTGAACATATCCTTCGCTTTTTGTGGAGGGGTGTTGGGGGTGTAAAATAACACTTTCCACATTTCCGTGTTAACCGGATGTTTTTTTTCTTAAGTAAACATACAACCATCATGTGGAGAAACAACAAGTCCAAAACCCACCCTATTGTAAACTGTGCAATATCATGTGTTAAATAAGTTTTAAATGGCGTGTATACGCCAGTTAGTCTGTCACGTTTCTTTATACTAATAATGTTTTTGTAACATTATTCATTATTTACTAATACTTTGATTCATATTGTTTTGATAAAAGTTGATAAAAGTGAAACTTGTTGTTATATATATGTTGGGAATAATATAAAAGCATCCGATTTTACAAGAAATATAGTCAGTCCAACAATTTTGACAAAAGCCTCAGCACGCCCTATTTTGGCCACGCAGCGATACTTTCCTCAGATGTCCCACACGTGAAGTATAGGATCGTTTTTTTTACAGGGATGAGAAGAATATGATTAGTGAAAAGATATGTTCGAACAGATGGGATACAATACAACGTCTGAAGAACGCCTGAACGTACAAATTAAAGGAAGCCTTGTATTTTTTAGGTCGCGTGTGTACATGCCATTACTAAGTTTAAGTTAAATTTCAATAGTTTTTGTCCCGGCACCCGTTTCTCCATCTCCATCGTTCAACGACACTCCCTACTATATACCAATTAACTAATAACTTTGGCCATTCTTGCAATGTTAATAAGTCGAAATTTCGAGGTACTAAGTCGAAATTTCGAGATAAGTAACTCGAAATTTCGAGTAAGTATGTCGAAATTTCGAGTTACTAAGTCGAAATTTCGAGATAAGTAACTCGAAATTTCGAGTTAGTATGTCGAAATTTCGAGATAAGTTACTCGAAATTTCGAGTAAGTATGTCGAAATTTCGAGTTAATAAGTCGAAATTCCGGGTTAGTAAGTCGAAGTTTCGAGATAAGTAACTCGAAATTTCGACTTTCTAACTCGAAATTTCGAGTAACTAACTCGAAATTTCGACTTAATTATCTCGAAATTTTTAGTTACTAACTCGAAATTTCGACTTACTTACCCGAAATTTCGACTTATTAACTCGAAATTTCGAGTTACTAACTCGAAATTTCGACTTACTAACATTACAAGAATGGCCAAAGTTATTAGTTAGATGATATAAGAAATAGTAGGGAGTGCCGTTGAACGATGGAGATGGAGAAACGGGTGCCTGGACAAAAACTATTGAAATTTAACTTAAACGTACACACCGACCTAAAAAGTACAAGGCTTCCTTTAATTTGTACGTTCAGGCGTTCTTTAGACGTTGTATTGTATCCCATCTGTTCGAACATATCTTTTCACTAATCATATTCTTCTCATCCCTGTGAATAAAACGATCCTATACTTCACGTGTGGGACATCTGAGGAAAGTATCGCGGTGTGGCCAAAATAGGGCGTGCTGAGGCCTTTGTCAAAATTGTTGGACTGACTATATTTCTTGTAAAATCGGATGCTTTTATATTATTCCCAACATATATATAACAACAAGTTCCACTTTTATCAACTTTCATCAACACAATATGAATCAAAGTACATGTATGTATTAGTAAATAATGAATAATGTTACAAAAACATTATTAGTATAAAGAAACGTGACAGACTAACTGGCGTATGCACGACATTTAAAACTTATTTAACACATGATATTGCACAGTTTACAATAGGGTGGGTTTTTGACTTGTTGTTTCTCGACATGATGGTTGTATGTGTGCTTAAGAAAAAGAAACATCCGGTTAATTAAGACGGAAATGTGGAAAGTGTGATTTAATTACAACCCCCCTCCACAAAAAAGCGAAGGATATGTTCAGTATGTGTGGACAATTTAATCCTATTAAATTGTTCTGTTAAATAAATGTTAAAGGTGCTCTGTCAATGTGCAACAGCTACACACGAAAGAAAGTATCTTAAATTCAATCCTTGCTTTCACCGTCAACCAATGAAAGTCGTGCAATGTAAGTCGAAATTTCGAGTTACTAAGTCGAAATTTCGAGTTAGTAAGTCGAAATTTCGAGTTAGTAAGTCGAAATTTCGAGATAAGTAACTCGAAATTTCGAGTTAGTAAGTCGAAATTTCGTGTTAGTAACTCGAAATTTCGAGATAAGTAACTCGAAATTTCGAGTTAGTAAGTCGAAATTTCGAGTTAGTAACTCGAAATTTCGAGTTAATAAAAAACATACACCTGGCACTAATGCTCTTCCGTATAAAAGTCTTATACAAACATGTCTTGTTATTTTTGTGATTATGTCATGCCTCTTTAAAAGAGGAGGTGTGACCTAGTTGCCAACGTCATTTTATAATGATACACTTACTGTAAATGTAATGATGAAGATAATAATAATGGACTTTAAAAAAATACCTAGTTCTACGTTTTCCTGGTGACTTTCTGCCATAATTCTACCATTTCTTCAATTTATTTTCGTTTTTGTTTTCGGTGTTTTCGTTTTCCTACTTTCGTTTTCACATCGCTCTTCCTGTTAAAAATTAATTGCGTCTTTAAAATCCAAATTACATATTTATATACTCTATATATTCTTCACTTCTTAGCGTCCAAAAATAATCAATATCAAAATGAATAAAATATGCTATATTCAAATCATATATCATAATTCACGATGCTATGAAAATGAGTTTATCGATAAACACGTATATCAATTACGTAGCTATACGTCACATGATAAAGATAAACACAATCGGTGTTTTACATATTTTGTAAATTTTCAGTGGGTTAGTGAATCTGGGACATAAGATCTTATAAATGTCCCAGAGTGAATTAAATGATATTCCATGAGTAATTGATAGTCATTATATACATGCATTCTGACCTATGTCTATGCCATTGGAAGCTTATTATTTTACTGTATTTTGTTTATGAACCCCTTTGAAATTAAAATGTTATGTTCTAGATTTAAAATGGCACCGATTTCTCATTTGTGGCAAGTAGAAAGATAAAATTTATTTTAGTATTGTGCAATAACCTGGTAAAATATGTATGACACATGATAAAACAATGCAACAGTAACACATCGTCGCCCTAATTCCATAATGATGTAAGTCGTATTTTACCATTTTGAGAAAATCGACCTCAAAGTTTTAACAGGCTATATCTTCACCCTAACTCAACCAATTTTAATATAAAATATATCATAGTATGCAGAATTATTTTAACTTTTACACTTTTAATTACGAAGAAGTTCCTGTAGATAGTTTTTTTGAAAATCAAAATAAAAAAAATGAAAAATCACTGAAAAATAAATTTTATTGACAAAAATACAAGAACCAGAATGCTGTATTCAGTTACAGCAATGTGACCCTAAAATATCATTACATTTAGGAGTTACAACAGTGTGAAATAACGACTTTTGAACTGTTTTATACTGAAATTATATTAAATTTAGAGGTAACTAGAAATTGAATTCTTTAACGAATGGTCTGAATCCACATTTATTTAGGCACCACAGAGCATGGAATGTGATCAGGATCAAAACAGTAAATTTAGTCTTAAAAGTCAATAATAGAAATCCAAACAATGCGGCGAAGTGTGAATAGCCACGAACAGGCAATTTAAGGTTGAAATAGATCTCGGGCTTCATTATCTTATCACCATTTACATGAAATAGTGAGCCTTGCAAATGAACAAAAAAAATAAGATGTTACTGATTTTGTAAATGTATCACATTGAGGTAAACAAAACGAAAACAAAATTTAGAAACATCGTCCTTGTATTGATATTTACCACATAAAGTAGCAAACTTTTTATCATATGATATGCTATTTTTACAATAAGACTGTACAATATAAAATATTTGGAATTCAGATTTACTTTTGGTTTCGTTTATTATATCATTAATTCATTCCAAATTCAATTCTGAATACCTGTAGCTTGCAGACAAACAGCATGTTGAACATAATTTGACTTACAAAACACACAAAAATGTTTGAAAGATGTAACTGCTTAAGCTTTGAAAAACAACATCAACAATGAGTTCCTTTCTCTGTAACATAAAAAAGAATAAACCTATGTATTTTACTTTTCTAAAAAAAGCATTACTTGATGTTTTGTTTTAAAAAAAAATGAAAAATATTAGACACAACTCAAAGCTCACAAATGTTCAAAGATGCTACAGATCTGGATACGGTGTTTCAATGAACTACTGTGCTTCAATTACTACATGTATTTATATATAAAGTGGCATACAACTTCTTTACATATAATAACAATTAAGTATACGTTTGCATTTAATGTTTTTATCTGAACTGTTAACATCAATAACTCATTCGTATAAAAACAATGCTCAATATCTAAGAGTTTCAGACAAATATTAATTCTATTTTACCTCAACAAACGTTTGATGAAACAAATATGACAATTTAAAGAGTTCTTAATGTTTTATATGGTCTTAAGACTTTGTAACATATCTTCACAAAATCATTCTTTTTTACGTTTCAATCGAATGAAAATTTTTAACCACTCATTTTTTTCTTTTTAAAAAATAGTTTTCGTAATGGATAATTTTCAGTTCAATGGTTCAAATCACTTGATAATTACAGGTAGTATTACCTTACGAGTTGGAAGTAGATGTACAAGAATTATTTTTAACTTAGAAACTTAGATTAATTTTGCTTTGCATGTTCCAATTATATAATAAATTTCAGCATAAGATTGAACATGATTATGTTGACAAAAAGGTATAGACTGACACCCTGTTGATTTATGCAAAATAGCTGAGAAGGTGGCATTTTGTTTAATAAGTATTTGTTGTGCAAATGACGTCTCTTATTCAACGCTAAATGGTGCATCTGAGACACCTCTCAGCTTTTAAACTTTTTTTATAGGGATATTGTCAACTTTAACCCACCATATAGCCTTTGACGTTTGGATGTACTGTTTTAAGAACACAAACGAGTGATGTAGGACTGAACATTTTAAAAGTGTTTTGTCTTTCTTTCTATATGATAGTGGGTATTGTTAACCAGTCTAGATTTCATAATGCCTTGGACAGCAAAACTTTTCATATTTTTGTGATCGTAAATTTCAGCATAAGATTGAACATGATTATGTTGACGAAAAGGTATAGACTGACACCCTGTTGATTTATGCAAAATAGCTGAGAAGGTGGCATTTTGTTTAATAAGTATTTGTTGTGCAAATGACGTCTCTTATTCAACGCTAAATGGTGCATCTGAGACACCTCTCAGCTTTTAAACTTTTGTTATAGGGATATTGTCAACTTTAACCCACCATATAGCCTTTGACGTTTGGATGTACTGTTTTAAGAACACAAACGAGTGATGTAGGACTGAACATTTTAAAAGTGTTTTGTCTTTCTTTCTATATGGCAGTGGGTATTGTTAACCAGTCTAGATTTCATGATGCCTTGGACAGCAAAACTTTTCATATTTTTGTGATCGTTATATGAAAGTGCATTATTTTGAAATTATGAAAATAATGAAATTATGAGTTATGAAATAATCATGAAGTAAACACCACCTAATTTAACATCAGTTATGAGTTGTTAAGTTATATGTGTAAATTTTATTCGAATCACTTAGCACCAGTACGGTAATTTGTCTTATATAGTTAAAGACAAAATGTAACAATGGCAGTAGTATGTTTCCCATTTGATAAGTTTTGTTTGTAAGTTAAAAGTATAAACAATCTAATGCAAAACCTAATTGTACGTATTTAATCTGAATATGTACAAGTTAGCATTGATCAATCAATCATATAATCATTCACATATCAAGTTATGAACAGCTGATACTTGTGAATATTGAAAGTTTGTATCATTTTATCCGATTTCCATGCTATCCGAATTTCATAACACAGCATGGTGCTTTGAATTTAGCTAAAGTGTAAAGAGTAGTTATTATTCATTTTTAAGGTTTGAAACAGTTCATTAAAATATTAAGCTATAGATAATTAGATAACATCTAAAGCAAAACACTTACATGTTATCAAGAAATATAAAACGTAAAATGTCATTCCCGATACCTTGAAAAATCTGCCATTTTGTCAATACAGCATCACGTGACTAGAATCTCAACAAACTATTGGTTCAGAAGTTACGATATTATGGACTGTATTTTTATCACAATTTTTGGACTTACATCACTCTGACCCATTCAATATATTGTTACAGACATGAACCAGAGTGATGTTGTTCTTACCATTAGATAGAGCAAAAAATTACGAACATTTTGATACCAAACACTCATTTTTTTCAAAATTGGAGTTACGACACTCTGGAATTAGGGCGACGACATGTCACGTCAGTTACATCATAATAAGAATAATACTAAAAAGTAAACAATACGAGGTTCTTAAGTGTATTGACATAAATGCATAAAATTTAATACATGCTTCACACTCCAAAATTAAGAAAAATAAGAGGAAAACATAGGCATCCAGGAGATACTTTCATACAAAATACTTTCGGCTAAACAACTAAGTATGTATTTCCTTTTATAGAAGAGGGAAGAACACAGTGATTTTGCGTCACAACCTTTGACCTGGCCTTATAAATATTTTGAACATTTTGTATTTTTCTAAAAGTACATTTTTAATAATTAAAAATAACTGGGGATAGCCAATGTCAAGACTTTAAAGAATTAATTTGAAAATCTGACATTTAAAACCGTGTGAAAGTAAACAGTTTTTGGACAGTTTTTGGACAAATCTTAACGTAACTGATAAGATCGGAACTATTTCAACTTTATTTAGTATACTGGCATATTTATACAGAAATTTAACGGACATGGGTATGTTTTTATATTTTAATTATTCAACTAAAGTTAGTAATTCATTATTATTGGCACAGTGAAATAAATATGTGTTTCAAATTAGTTAAAAGTGCATAATGTATAATTATTAAAGATTCTTCTTCCAATATTGAACCAGGCAATTGTAACACTGTCCCAGCCCCCATCCCTTTACCCATGGAGAGGCGGTGAAAGGCGGGGAAAATGGGAAAATAGCAGATATTTGACTTCCGGACAGTACGATTGGTTTTGTTTTGACAAAAATAACTGGGGATAGCCTATGTCCAAAATGAAATGCGAGGGCGGGGGGGGGGGGCGGACGGTCGCAAGGGTTTCAAAGTCTGATTGTCCCCAAAGGACGAGGCCTTTCCCTTGGGCTAAAAAGTCGGTCATGGTTACATTTGACTGGTGAATAGTATTATAATTTCAGGACTTTACTATGTAAAAATCTCGATACTTTTGCTGCTTGTATACAATGTCGCCGAGTTACACGTGCATGCACGGGAAATCCAGGAAGATAAGGCACTTAGTAAGTTAATAAGTATTATGTTACACTAAAATGTGAAAGGTTTTCTGTAACAAAATAATCTATCTACATATATAACCAGGATAATGTTTCTGTGTGTACATTTACATGTATGTATATTAACGTAAACCAGGGTAATTAAATGCATTTTTCCCCTCTTTTGTAACTATAAGGATGAGCAAAACAGTTTGAATATTGTTTTGATTAAAATAGATATGTGATAGAGATATTTTTATGTCATGTTCTTTGAACAGATGTATTTTTTTGTCGAAGATTATCATGATATTACCGTTATATTATTGTTTGAACTCAATAAATTGCTGTTAAATGCGGTGTATTTCTTTTAAACGTATATTGAAATACATGCATGAAACATTTCTTTATTTTACCGCAACCGGAAGCAACAAATCATTTAATTTGTTTTTTTTTTCTTGATCCCCAGAATCTCGCCGTTTTCTGAATGACAAAGTGCCTGGTAAGTTCTATATAATGTAATATTGTAACACGTATTGTATATGACTGTACATTTTGGATTTATCTTTTATACATTTAAACACATTTTTTTTCGAGTTTTCAAAGAAAAAAATTTGGATATTTTAGTTTGCGCGCGTTTTAGTGGCTTAACGATACATTAAAATGATAAATATTCCTCTGTTTCGCATTTCGACAAAAACATACATGAAAGCCGAAGATTTCCGATAGTTCAAGAGTGCCAGATCTAAAATGCTATATTTAGATTAATTTGTTAAAGCTCGAGACTGCTTAGACGTTCTGCGCGTGCTGGGTCAGGAGGAGGGAGGTATATACGACGTGACGCTATGGAGATCCGGGCAGACGATACAAGTTGTATGCGACATGGAAACAGACGGTGGCGGATGGACGGTGAAAAAAAAATTATTATCATTGTTATGTCATTATTTATTTACAATTAATTATATATGCCAACATAAAGTTGGTCTCATTAAAGTAAATTGTCAAAATTAAATCTTTTTCAAAATCACGGGTTCAAATATTCAAAGTTTAGAATGTCAGATATTTTCAATTGAACAAAATACAATTCCAGGTATTTCAACGGCGATTTACTGGCGCTCTTGATTTTGCCCAAACTTTTGCCGCCTATAAGTCTGGCTTTGGAAACCTAAACGATGAGTTTTGGCTTGGTAAGTAACCGGCCAACAATCAACGTTAATTTATTTAGTATATATAGAGGCTCGTCACATAAATCAGTAACATTAACTAATATATACATGTAGTAATTTCTGCAAAATATCCTGTTACTTTTTTACTCCTCAGTTGAAATGTACATCGTTTAACTTCATCATACATCATCACCATTACCATCATCATCATCATTTACAGTAGTGATATTCAGCCAACTTTCAATGTGTTTATGGTACTATAAATGCTCAATTTGAGACTAACATGAACAGATATATTTTACATTGCTGTGTACGTATCTTCTTTAATTCGTCTGCTTATCTAATACATGTATATCAACAGGTTTGGACTACGTTCAAGAAATGGCTGCTTACGGTGAAACAGACTTAAGACTGGACGTGAAAGCTCTGGATGGCACGGATCTTTATGAACTTTTCCACAACTTCAGTCTATCCCCTGGTCCAGATTATAGGCTAAGTATTGAGCCAGGAACTGGTTCAATAGGTTTGTATAATGTTACTGGTTCTCTTTCACCGTTTTATGTCTATTGGATAAAGCAAAGTAAATATACGGTACGTGTACTTAACGTGCCTTTTGCAAAGTCGTTCGTCGAGCTTAGGCGTCAATACAAGACCATGCTAAGTTATATTGCGGCAATACATTGCGAAGTGCTGCCAAGTGTCTGATATTGACTTGTATCGAAGTATTTATTCTATATGTAGACATGAATGAACACAATGCGACAGGACACAGCTAAAATGTCAGTTTGTGGTGTCCAGTGTCGAGTCCTGCTGGCTGGTGTCATACCGAGTTGTTTAGTTCTGTATTTCACTTGCATGTAACGAGACAAGCAGAAATACATCTGTTGAGGCCGATATTAACAACAATTTAGAAGTGACAGTACGTACATTGTACTATACATGTACATCTTTCTCTTTCTATGTTCGTCTGATTGATTTTCCGACAAAACATATTCACGCCGTTTTATTTTTTTCCAGTTATTTTTTTTTCATATATATCTATTATACTTTGCCTTAAAGTTGATATAAAATAGCCGTTCTACTAATGTAGCTATGTCATTTCACATTGTGTTTATTTAGAGCTTTAAACATAATGGACGATATTGAAAATGTCGCTCGAATGACACCATACATGACACCGAGTCATGAAGTCAACCTACGCGGATTGATATACCAAGGCTTGCTATTATCATGATTGCAGGTGATGATCCTAAACATGGTTTATCGTACCACCATGGATCTGCGTTCAGCACACTGGATCATGATGTGTCCCCGGGTCACTGTCCTAACTACCAGAAAGGAGGTTGGTGGTATAAATCGTGTGGTTACATCAATCTGAACGCCCATCATGGCATGAAGATGTTTTATACTACCTCCAATGGCTACGAGTCACTAAAGGAGACCAGGATGATGTTAAGAAGGAAACAGTTTAAATAAACTAAAAAACTTCTTGAGAAGATGGAAAATATTAATAAATTACGATACAAAAGTTAGTTGGAATAATCGTTTAACCCTTCAATAATTAACCCTTGATAATTTTGTGAAACAGACCTGAACAGTTTTGAATTTGGACAAATTCGAGTTCAATACCGATTTCTTTTATTAAGTTTTTTTTAATCAAACCGCTACAAAGAAGACTGTTTGATCACATTTTAGCATTATTGGTGGAGGAAGATCTCAACTACCCCTATGTTCATTACTTTAGGCTCATTTGAGCACCTACTATGTAGAACAACCAACTGGATAAAGCGCCCTCTTACAAAGTTCTTGATGAGCGGGGAATAACGAGTCAAGCTCTTAACTTCAGGGTCACGGAGACTTGTATACAGTATTACATTAGTTCGTTTATAAAAACCAGTTTGCGTTATACAAATAATATAATAAACAACATTCTTGACCCTGGCTCTTAACTTGTTACGTAATTTGTAGTGTAATATACATAACAGAAATAACAATAAAGCAAGTCTCATTTTATTCATAACTAAAATATAAAGTTAAGACAATGATTTACAAAATTAATGCACCAATTGTACAAATGTAAAAATATTTCCATCAAAATTGTTTGTAATGAAAAGCATAATATATGTGTGTACACATACTTAAATGTAAATGAGTAAACATATAACAAGAGGACCTTATTAAGGCAATGACCCTGATTGAAGGCAAGTAACTTAATAAGACTAAATACCCTATGACATAGAAGTTAAATAGTTGATGTTAACCCTCGATGACCTTGTCGTTACACAAGTACATTTGTTCTCTTAGAACTACAGCCAAGGGTGAGTTTCCTGACAGATAACTGCATAACACAACGTTGATAAATAAATGAAGTGATCAGGTAAGCTAAAAAAATGATTTCATTTCATAGATATAAAATACATGTTTAGCAATAATATGTAATAATACATGTTTGTCATAGACACAATTTAACAACAAACTGTAACAGATAAAGGTAGTTCAGCTGTCACCGTCCGACTTCAAAGTTTCATAATTTTCACAAATCAAAGGCTAACCACAAAACAACAGTGACTTATATAAAATAAAGAAGGACTTACAACAGTCTTGTCAACACTCAAAATATACAAACAAAAACTATTTTAACTATTCAAATGCTAGGTCAACGAAAACGCAAATAACATGGTATCCACCAAATTACCCAAAATAGAATTAGAACTAAAAAGTCTAAATTATTCTATTATCTGAAATGCTTCAAAAAATTCAAGGAATCACGGCTTAAATTACAAACCAGGTTTATCATTAACCACAACTATTATTATTATATCATATAACTACATTGAAATTAGCAAATGTGTATGTAAAACTTTAGAGTCATAAGTAAGATCCCCATGAAAACCCTTACTATCCCTGCAGTATAACATTAATAAAAGACTTTTTCAGTATCTATCATGTGACAGAAAAGATGAAAAAGAAATGATTCTCCTATTGCACCAATTCTAACAGAACTCTCAAAATAAATTAGCAAATTCTATGTTTCACAGGTAGCATGCAACACCTTCCCTAAATTCTACCCCATGGAATAATATGTAATATGGAACTTTCCTGCCTTAATTTGGAACAATCCAATGTGAAATTAGGGGTGTCTGATATCTTTAAATAAACATTATACATATATACATATAAACTTGTATAAATAAAAGTATATAAATATCAAAATGATCAATGCATGCACATTATTATAGGTCTCAATACCTCACAAAATGATATAAAATTGAGCTTCTGGTCAATATCAAAATTGATGCAGTAGATTTCTGGTAAACCTTATTATCATTGGGCTGTATATTTCTGGTTATATTAGAAAGTTGGTTAAAGATTTCTCATAAAGACAATCATTGATTGATAGATTCCTCATAAATGTTACCATTAAGTTGTAGATTTTTGGAGACACAAAAAACATTCTGATAAATGTTATCACAAAGTGGCAGGTTTCTAGATAATGTTATCACCAAGTAGAAAATTTCTGTTTTACTAACATCATCAAGTAGTATATTTCTGGTAAATGCTATCATTGAGTGGTAGATTCCTGGTAGAAATGCTCACTGAGTGGTAGATTTGTTGTAAATAGTTTCACTGAGTGGTAGTTTAGTTATTTGTTGTAAACCATTTCACTGAGTGGTAGATTTGTTATTTGTTGTACACAGTTTCACTGAGTGGAAGATTTGTTGTAAATAGTTTCACTGAGTGGTAGATTTGTTGTAAATAGTTTCACTGAGTGGTAGATTTGTTATTTGTTGTAAACCGTTTCACTGAGTGGTAGATTTGTTATTTGTTGTAAACAGTTTCACTGAGTGGAAGATTTGTTGTAAATAGTTT